ACTACTTTAAGTTCTCAAGATCTAATTTGGTTTTGGTTTGAGTGTAGACTGGTGGACCAAGCTGGATGGTTCCACTGGGAAGAAGAGACTCGACAAGTGCAAGCTTGAGTGGATCAAACAACAACATTCCTGCACCTAACAACACTTTCAACACAATTCTTTCGAGATTTAACCGTCAAGGTCTAGATGTCACCGATATGGTTGCTCTCTCTGGTAAGCTTACTTCATCCACAAGGAAGAAAACTTATGTTACTTGCTTCTCAAGCTAACATTAAACCTTAAAAAMAAWTTTCWTATAACCTTTACCTATACCAATATTTTTTCAGGGAGCCACACCATTGGATTCTCAAGATGCACTAGTTTTAGACAGAGGCTTTACAACCAGTCCGGAAACGGAACTCCCGACACGACCTTAGAGCAATCCTATGCTGCTAACTTGCGCCAGAGGTGTCCCAGATCAGGTGGAGACCAGAACCTGTCGGAGCTTGACATCAACAGTGCCGGAAGATTTGACAACAGCTACTTCAAGAACTTGATCGAGAACATGGGACTGTTGAATTCCGACGAGGTCTTGTTCTCTAGCAACGAAGAATCGAGAGAGCTAGTGAAGAAGTATGCAGAGGATCAAGAAGAGTTCTTCGAGCAGTTTGCGGAATCGATGATCAAGATGGGGAACATCTCTCCCTTGACAGGTTCGAGTGGTGAGATCAGGAAGAATTGCAGGAAGATCAATTCTTGATTTCGTAATATTGGGAAAAAATTGTTGGACGAAATAGAAGTGAGAAATGTTTTGAGTGAAGAAATTTAAATTTTGTGCTCTGTTTTGTTTTCGAGAAGAGGGGAAATATAAGAATGGTTTTTTGAATGGGAAAAAAATCGATGTAGTGCAAAACTAAAATCAGATTTGGCGATGATATTATTTACTTAATGATTTTTTTATGTAGGTTTTAAGTAATATGCATTGTGCATATTTGAATTCAGATAGTGCCACAACGACGGTAATAACATAAATCAGTAGATTTATAGACTAACGACTAGCAAAGATATTTTGAAACTACAAACTTGGATTTTGAGAAACTTATTTTCTAAATTTTAATTTAACACCATACATATTTTGGGCCCTGCACAATTGGTGCTTTTGCGAAGAACTATCCTTTTTGTAAAAGTAGGTTTTCTTTATCTATAAGGCTCTTCTCATAAGTCATGATTATACAAATATAGAAGCTTTTTCATCAAGAGAGTTCATGTAATTTCAATTGTAGAAACAAAAGGGT